CATGGAGAACGTGAGACAATCGCTGTTTCTTCAGTATTGTGGGGGTGTACGGAGTGGCAATTGTTTTTGACATAATAATGGAACAGTTTATAATAATTTGCGCTAAGTTTTGTGCCCCGCAAGGACCTGAATTTGTTTAAAAAATTGCTTGAGCGGCATCATGCAGCAGACGACACGGCGACGTCACACCATTCACGTGACCCGCTCCGGCCAACCCGAAAAGCCCATTTCCGCTGCGAGCAAAAATCGTCTGCTTCAAACGCCATTGCCTTGGAAATTGCCTTCTCAAAATTTGCACACGCATCCGATATTATTAAAACTTTGATAAAGTGTTTAGTACTTTGCTAACTTCACGGCAGACTAGTTTTGAAAAGTGTGAACAAGCCGTTCATTTTTTAATCAGCCGTGTTGTATCGATCTCCATGTATTCTCCCATAGGGCGGGCCGCCTCCTGGAACCCTGAGTACCACGTGACTCGCGCCGAGCCGCTCTGTCGGCCATGTTGTCGGCAAAACATGGGGTTCAAAGGATTGCGCTACTCTGCTCCGTAGGAGCTATATAGTGCTCTAGGCGACAAGGGAGAAATTGCTTGAGATAGTTTCGGTTTTACACCGAAAAAGAAAACCGAAAGTTTAGATAAACCCTAAGATAGACTAAACGTTTTGTTAATATTTTACGAATATAATAAAGTGACATTATTATTATCAATATATTGATTTGCTTAATTTTGTCTTCAAAAAAAAAAAAAGAACAAAAAGAAGAGACTTTCGAAAACTGCGGAAGACCATCGCTATTGCAATCAGCTTCCGTTCGGCCGCCGTTGGAGTTCCGAAAAGTTCGAGCATCGTTTCCTTTTTACGTTTCAGCCGTTTTTGCGGATATTCTAGATATCTTCCTTACGAATACCGTGTTCAAGAATAGCAAGCGATTACTGAGAGCTGTGAGACGCAGCGTCGCAAGTGGCGGACAATCATGGCCGACTGGTGCAAGCGAAGGTGAGGAAGTTCCCTTTGTTTCTGCGAAGTGCGCCGCTGTTTCAAACTTTGTCTTGTACCGTGTGCTTGCTAAGCTATGCTTGACTCTCACTATGCTCTACCCGGTTTTATTTCGTTATTTGTGAAGAGCGTATCTTCAAAATTTATGGCTCTCTCCGCAGAGTGAGAAAGATTCGTGTGCGGCGGAACCGAGGGCCAGCCGAGGGCCTGCCCTGGGCGCCGTCCCTACGACGCGGTCGCCCGACGACGCTTTTGCGGAGCGTTCAAGTACAGTCTGACGGCAGTTCAAGCAATCACAGGTCATGCTCGTTCTGAACGTGTGGTCCCAACAGTCTCTCGCCAACGGTTTGCTTCATAAAGCGGGAGCGAGAAAAACATTACAAGAGCGAGCAGCATGATTTCTTGCCCGTGCTGATGCCTGTGCCATAGAGACGGACGATCTCTTTGCGTATGCCGAAGCGGCACGCTTTCCAAGTTTGCGATTGTGTGTTGTGAATAAAGTGAGTTTGGATGTCACGTTTTTTAGTGGCGGCAAAAGCCGCTACAAAAGGCAGAGCAGTTAAAAAAAGGAAAAGCATGAAAAAAATGTTAAAAGGACCTGAATATTCGATGGAGTTGAAAGACTACCAACGTACCAACTCGCCCAGTTTTTCTTCGTCAAAGAATAATAGCCAATACTAATAAATTAAATAAATGCCAACTTTTAATTGGTTAGAAATTTATAATTGATGAAGTACAGCCCTACCCTGCTCTAGTGCTTTTATGATATCAGATAATGTGTAAATATATAGGATAGTTCATAGCAACCATTTATGTCCGACCCATTATATTGAATCTTTTCTCTAAAAGCTCGAAGTTATGTAAAAAAAAGTACTTATCATAAATTAAGCCGCACCACTGAATGTGTAATAGCGTATGACGTGTATGTGTGTTCACAGCAAAAGAAAAGGAGACATTAAGAAAATGCCAATCATTTTGTTTGCTCTGTGTTAGAACTTCTTTCAGGTATCAGGTTTTCAGAAATGATATTGTCCGATTTTCCTCGCCCTTTTGTCAGGATGAAGTTGTTACTATCTAGCCTTCCTCACATAGTGGTCCTTTGAGCGAATTATGTGATGTTATATCATAGAGTGGCATAGGGTAATTTTCTCTTCTCTTTTTACGCAGGATGTAATGGCATACCATCATCAAAAACGAGAGTGTACAGTGAGGCAGGCTCGGAAACTTGAATAAAGTGATAAGTAGGATTTCAATTTCTGTCTTATCAATTACGCGAAGAACACTGATCATAATGTTTCTATGCTACACATACATACTTTCAGTTGAAAAATGCAGTGCACCTCTTCTTTATGGCTTTTCTCACACAGTTTCAGAAGACGCCGGTACGTCATTCTCACGAGGAATAGAGCTGCCAAAGATTTCCTCATTAATTTCCTGACTCATTTTTAAGAGTGCATCTCCCGATGGTGGCGCCTCTGCATTATCATCATCAATTGAGTTGTCAACGGCGTTTCTTAACATTTCACGAGAATGGAGCTGTATGAGATGAAATTTCACAGGTTGGAATACTAGCCGTTCAAAGAAACACCTTTGAAAAGTCAGCTTTTTAAATGCAGGCGCTGATTTTTCTGGTCAATTTGAGACCGTTCTTTCCGTTCAGAACGCCCGACATACCCGGCGTCCCAGATAACTTGCACCATACTTTAAAAACAAACCGGAGGGCTCTGCAGGAGTGAAATCAACTGTCGTTAGCAAGTGTCTTGAGAAAGTGCACAAATTTTTTTAATGCGCCTGGTTATGTAAATAACTAAGATTAATGAGCTAACCTTTCAAATATTCTTTTAAGGGCCAAGATATCAATCGTAAAGTTGCAGGGCGCATTGAGAAACACCGAATTAAAGTGTTTGAAACATAATACGTTTTCGTGCTTTTTTCCGGCCTTCAAAGAACGCACATTCGCGGCGCTCTCGCACGCTGTGATTGGGAAAACGAGTTGTCACGCAGTATTTTTTTTTTTTTTTGTATTTCGCGGGCGTTTTTTTGAAGGCTAGGGAAAAGGAGCATTCAAAGTGCACCTTGTTGAAAATGGTTTAATTGGGTGTTTCTTAATGCGCTCTACAACTTTCCATTTCACACCTCGGCTTTTAAACAAAGATTTCAAAAGTTAGCTTGTTACTGTTAATTAAATAAATAGGCGCACTAAAACAATTTCGTGCACTTTCGCAAGAGACTTTCTAACAGTGTACAGTTGGTTTCACTCCCGCAAAACGCTCTGTTTTTTTTGTTTTTGTTTTTTTAAAGTTTGGTGCAAGTTATCTGGGACACTCCGCATATATGTACTGGTAGTGTACATTTAGTACATTAAAAGCATACATGAAGTGTACTAAACGTTCACTTATAGCACGCTAAGAGTACACTCGAGGTGCACTTATGGTATACTACATATGTACTTGGGGTGTACTAAAGGTATACTATTTTGTTTCATAAAAGTGTGAAACTAGTACGATTTCAGTACATACCCTAAGTTCACTATTAGTATACTTTCAGTATACTGATTTTGAACGACTTTTCGCTAAGGGTAGAGTCGCTCCGGCGCGTGACCTTCGCCCATGAATTGTTTACTCTGTTCACCGCTAAGCTGACTGTGTGGTGGAAGCTACATGCACGTGGAACCAGTCCGCCGTCGGTCTTGCACCAGGTGATCAAGTTATCTGCAATTACGGCGATCAATTGGTCCGGCGAGTAAGTGGCTTCTACGACCCTGCCAGCTGGATTGTGAACGGAGTACAACATCTGCGATGTTATGGATGTTTCTGTGTGGGCGAACGACTGAGGGATGGATGCATGAAAAGAGGTGGTGGCCGACTCGCAACGTCAGCTTCTCGTTCGATTCTCCGTTACACGAAGTCCATTTTAGCAATGAAGAAAGATGTTTTGTCCTGTGCTCACCAAGCGAAGCTAGGATCTGCCATTTAAAGAATCAAGTAGTTGATTCCTCAAGTGAGATAACCTAGCAGCGCTTGATGAGTACGACACACGACAGTTACAGCAGCGTGTGTGCACTTCCGAGGAACACTGCAATGTAGGTTGTTAGATGCTAAGCCCCTCGACAGGGGACGTCTTTCTATAACCCAACTCTTCTTTCTTTTTTTTTTATTCAAGTTGAATTTGATGTGGAAATTATTTTAAAGGCAAAAGTTATGCATGATTTTCTGAAAATTTCAATCGGAAAATGACGGCCGGCTGAGTTTTCGTATACATGGGGCTCTATGGGCACCAGAAACCGAAAACGGGCAAAAATGGGCTCCATTTTCCCATTGAAATTTTCAGAAAATCAATTATAATTTTGATTAAGTTATCGGATCGGGCTAAAACTTTGGCATCTGGTTGTGACCTCTAGCGCTACCTTTGGGCGGAGAATGAGCGTTCGGCGATGCCTAGTTTATATTTTGCGGTAAAAAACCCTGAAAATATTCTTTTGTGACACCCTGTATATATATATGTATATATATATATATATGTGTGTGTGTGTGTGTGTGTTCAAGAACGGTTTTGTTATTGACGGAAGCGGAGTCACTAAAAAAATTTTTTTCCAGGGAAATTAACGTACCCACTTCGACACAGGCGTTTGATTTTAAATGAACCCACCGAATAAATAAATGACAGAACACTATGTTTCTGAACTAGAAATATCCACACGCTTCAGTCTCAGGATGATAAACTATATATATATATATATGTGTGTGTGCGTGTGTGTGTGTGTGTGTTGTGTGTGTGTGTGTGTAAATGAAAAGGCAAGGGAAAAACGGAAAATAAAAAAAAAAAAAAACTTCCAAGAGCCTACTCGTCCAGCTCACTACTTTGATTCAACATCAAATGTTACAAGAGTAATGGCTCACAAAAACATTGCAAGGTTTTACCAATGATTTCGCATCCATTCCAGTTCAAAATTAAGGCCCAGTACAACCGAAGCATCTACGGAATGATACAAGATGTACTACGTACCTGTTGTGTGAATAGAAATAACGACGGCAATCAGCAGGAGCTTCATCGCTTCTATTGATTCCTTCTTTATGGAATGGAGTTTCTGCGCAAACTGCTTCGCATTTGAGCGAATTGACGATTTTATACCTTCGACACATAGCGTAAGAATCACGTGGGCAATTGTAACATTCTCCATTTTCGCCGTCATGACGCAAAATTCCAACTGTGATGATTGTTTGAACCCCTCAAGAAGTAAATAAAAATAACAACAGAAAAAAAAAAGAAATACAATACACAATCGCAAAATGCAACGGCGTTTGTTCGGTCCACCTCTGTGCGTCAAAAAAAGCTCGCCAAATAAATCAGATACTATCAAGCAGGCACGTAGCCAGGATTTTGTTTCGGGGGGGGGGGGGGGGGGGGGGAGCCGCCCATGACAAAATGGTGTATGAGGGGGAAGGGGGAGAGGGGGCCCCACCAAAATGGCAAGATTTGGGGGGGGGGGGGGATGGCCCCATAGGTCCCCTTCCCTGGCTACGTGCCTTCTATCAAGGCTTCGTTTTATTTTCTCCTTTTAAATATTTGTTGCCGGAAGGTGTGCATATCTAAATACTAAGTTATACTTCGAAATTTGAACGCAGCGAACGTGGCGTTGCGCAAAATATGGGCCTTTGATTGGTCGGCGATCAGGGACTCCATATATCCGATCAATCTTGTTATGCTCGACGTCGGAGTATAACAGAGCCTTAATACAACCTTGAAATCATGAGGGGGCCTTGTCTTCTACGTTGCATCGTCAGAGCTCGGCCTTTCGACGTCGCTGCGAGCTGCTAGTTCTTCCTCACCCTCAGTGCCTCTTCGTGTGGTCAGTGACAAGTTAAGAAGCGGAGGGTGCGGCCAAACTTCCTTGCATCTCATCATCGCTCCTTGGCCTAAGAGATTCCGCCATTAACCAATGAGCAGGTCGAACAACCAATCACGAAACAAGACGCGGAAATGTAAAGAGCCAAGAGGAGAGTGCTTATTCGGGATAGACCAGTGGCTCTCATGTTTGGAGCAGGACCCCTGGCGAGGAAAATTAAATAATCGTTTAGGTCGTGTTTCTGTTGTGCGTCGCGTTACGTCCTTCCAAACGCTGTGAAGTATTAAACCGCATGCAAGCGGTTTGTCGAGCGACGAGTAGAGCGACGGGGAGCAGGTTCGCTATCGAGCAGTCAGTCGCGCGAATAGGCACTGATTGCGTCTTGAATTGAAAGACCATTTGGGTACGGACGAAAATGTCATATATGGCCCTGATATATTTTACATATGGCCATATATGATAACATAAGGTGCCAAATAAGGTCATATGCCGCTATATTTGGGAGGAAATACGGCCACATATCGCCATATAAGTGGGCAAATACTGCCATATATGGCCACAGAAGTGCATAAAAGCGGCCATATACCGCCATATACGCGTGCAAATACGGCTGATTGCGCTGCATAAAAGTTCAAATACGGCCTCATATAGCCCTTTCACGACATATATGGTTAAAAATATATCCCGTGATAATGATATTAGTGTCCGTTTCGGTCGTACAAAAAAAAGTTATATGTACTTGCGAAGACACTAGTTGATTTATCTACAGTGCATGTCTCATGTAATTGGTTAACTATTGTTAACATCCTTAAGGTGAAGTTATTCCAGATATTAGGACCAATTAATCAATTCCGCAATTCGAAGATTGAAAGACAAATGAAGTTTGGTTGTGTGTTTGACGTGTGACAATATGACGAAGTCCATAAGATCGGAAAGCGAGTTAATTAAATAATGGATTTTAGATCGCAGCTCTTAGGCGCCAGTTTCCGCTTTAAGTGGTGTCGGCGTCGCCGTCGGCATCGGTGAAACCGCCCCGCTTAATTTAGCGGAATATTGAATTGAAGCTTATGTCACGTGACGTCAATTTTCCTGCTAAATCTAACAGTGAAACTAATGTTGTTCATGTTTCCCCTCTAAATTTAGCGGGGGAACACGAACCGTTCACTTACTGAAGATGCCAGATGCTACTTCGTCGTCCCGAACCATTTTCCCTTCGAACGGCTGCAAAGCCGTTGCGCCCGGAGTACCCTACGCAGCATCTTTCAAAGATCGTTCGCGCAGCATCGCAACCTTTCGTTTGCGAGCGTCGGCGATTCATCGTGTGTTGAAACTCGGAAGATGTGCTCTCCGTGGTGTCTTTTATGTGTAACTCTTTCATAAAACATTTTAAGTTTAAAAACGCGAACCCAAAAGTGTACCAATAATTTTAAATTTATTGGTAAATAGTTCTTTTTTATTTACTTGTGGTCATCGTGCGCAAAAAAAAAGTCCCGCTTAGTTTTTCATTTAAAATTATATTTTGGGCTAGACATCTTCTTTGGAAGTTCAAAAGCTGAACTTCATAGAGCTGTCCTGTTCACTCGGTATTGACAGCAGGGTAAACACTATGAGTGTATTAGGCCCATCGTGTCTCCGGTTTGGGTCACGTGCCTACAGTCTAGAAGCTGGTGATAAGGCAGAACACGGCACCTGCCTCAAGCCCAAGGCCACACATAGCGTTCACTGCACTATCAACCTTGGGTACAAGTGACAAATCCTCTCGTTGTGGTCATTGTTAGGATCAGGACCAGGTCCTGTTTGGGATGCCCCAGAGGATAAGCCTTTCGTGTGTGCACTCCCGTTTTGGTCTTTACTTCTTTCCTTTTCTCTCTCTCTAAGCTGAAAGCGTGGTAGAATGTGCGCACGTGACGAACTGCTCTCTGTGCGCAGGAAATGGCAGCAGCGTGGTCGCGTGGTGTGGCGGATGACGCATTAGCCGTTGGCAATCTCGGAGTGTCTGCTTCTGAACCTAGTTTGGCATGTGTTGTGCCCTGCATGGCTGCTGCGGATTCTGCTTCCGCAGTAAATTCGAAAAGTCCTACCCGTATACCGGCAACGAGCGATTTTTTCAAAGAAGCTCAATAATGTTTTTGTGATGCGTTTAGTATTCGGTTCTACAAATGACAGCTTGTGTTACATCATGTTGAATCTTCATGGACACCGTCCTTCTGGTTTTTGTGTTTGAGTGGTTGTCATGCCCGTGTAAATATATATCTCGGATTACACCTTTCAAGTCCGGTATCTTCAACGTAAGTGCGCTGACACCTACTTCGCGACAATTGATCGTTTTCCTACAGGTCCTCTTCCAGATCACCTCTAGAATTAGGCCGTGACTATCTTCTGGCAGCCGGGAGAATGTTTTCTTCGAAATTCTACCAGCAGTCACTTGCCATTGACCGTCTGAAATCATGTCACAACTACAGATAGAGTACTGTTTTTTTTATTCTCCCTGCGTACACGTTATCGACATTTGTTACGCGAATGTCGATAATCCTGCTCTTCTGGGAATTAGTTGAGCGAAATCAGGAGTGGCGTAAAGCGCACCATCATGTAAAAATTAATAAAAGTTGCTACATTCTCATTATCCACTTGGAATTTTTCTTATACAGATGAGAATTTACTTCTGGTAGATATTTTTAGAAAACAACAGTACACATAAAGTCTACCTTATTTGATTGGGACATATCTGCCCTTATATGGGAGGCAGATTTACCCCCAGTTTTGTACGGAACGGCGTTCAAAGGAACGGCGTTCCTGGAACGCGTTCCTTTTAGGAGGAACGAAGGAACGCCGCCGTTCCATTTTGCATCGGTGGAACTGGAACGGGAACGCGTTACATTTTTACTGGAACGGAAAGAGTGACGGCGTTCCTTTTTTCGTCCAGTGGGGTGATTTTTATTTTATTTCCAACAGGGGAAGTATGAAAGTACAAAAGCAATATCTTTACGAAGTGCAAGATCTCTTTAAATTTTTGGCTACTAATCTTACGGATTATTTTGCGTGGTCCTCGCTTGCTAACAGTCTCGGGTGCAGGAGAGCTGGTGGGCTTTGACACTTTTTTGAGTGCCCGAAACTGCGGTACAAAAAGCAGAACTTTTAGTCGTAGGAAAAGACCATGAAAGAGGGTTGTTTCAAACTCAGCTACTTTCTTTGTTTCCACGAATCCTCATACACCCAGAAATCTTATTCCGACTACAGCCATTTTAGAACTTCAATAATGAGACTTCAAATTACAACAATATCACAGATTGCCAGATATCGGCTGACCCTTGCATTCCGAACATCATTCACTTAAAAGATACACAAAAAATAACTTTTATTCCTTCTCTTGTCCCCACCTTCAAAGTGAACAACAAATCGAACCTTCACAACGAAGTATTTGTGGATTTCAAGACTGACTTTCTAAAAGCCCTACCCTCTCCTTCACTTGCTCGTATTGCGGACAGCAACATCGAGAAGCAACTAGTGTTAAGTTTTAACACGGTTGTAAAACGCTCGTGCAATCTTGGGTAAAAGTACATTTGGCTCGTCTGAATTATCCACTACAAACATGGACATGGTGAATAGCTGAGATTTTTAACATGAATAAAAATGAAACCCTGTTTCCCCGTGTTTCCTTCTCCTGGTGCCCTTCCATCACGACATACAAACTCGTATGCTGACTATAAATGGGATAGATAAAAAAAACTCTGCTTGATTTAACTAAATATGGTAATTAGCACAACAAAAAACAACAAGAACTAATGTAACGTATATGTAACAATACGCTCCACTTTTTAAACTGTAACGGGAACGAGTTCCTTTATCACATATGGAACTTGTAACGGGAACGCGTTCCAAAAATCAGAAGGAACGAGGAACGAGCTTTCGTTCCTTTTTTTTTTGAGGAACGTGTACAGCACCGTTTACCCCTAATTGGCAGACCCTGATATGGATACAAAACAAATTCGGCATATCAGCCCAGATATGCCTTATATCAGCCTATATGCTTTATATGAACAGATATGCCCAATTTTTTATATAACCATATTTGTATTTTTATATATAAGTCCTGATATGTCATTTTCGTAAGGGACCCTATTACGTTTGCTCCTCCAGCACCTCCATAACCGCCATGGTGCAGGGGTTTATATGTCAATTTTGCTGTTTCCAAGAGCCCTTCGGACACGATTCAAAAATGAGGTCTCTG